CTTTCATGCACAATTTTGCAGCAATCTTTTGAAAAGGAAACATTGTAACCTTTGTCGCATAATTGGCTAATGCTAAGGAGATTATGTTTAAGGTTTTCGACAAGCAACACATCGGAAATTGTAGTAGAGGAGGGATTACCTATACTACCTTTACCTAGTATCGCTCCGCGGTTGTTATCACCGTATGTTACATACCCTTTCTTCTTAGCCACGAAGTCTATGAATAAGGATATGTCTCCAGACATGTGCCTTGAGCACCCACTATCAAGAACCCATCTTCTCTCGGTGGACTCGACACATTTCACCTGTCAAAATATAACTTAGAAAAGGGAGGTACCCAATGGCATATTGGGTCCTAATAGGTTAGCGACAAGACGGTTGCGTTTGGGCAACCATTGGTAGATGCCTTTAGGAACAAGAAATCTCCTAAATCGACATTTACCAATGGAGTGGCCTTTCTTGCAACAGTAAAAGCATACAAAGTCGACATTAGAATCACTTTCACTTGCTTGATCCCTAATTACATATGCATATTTTTGATATGGGTTTATCATACTTTTTCTAAAATCCTTTTTATCGATTGCAAATGTAATTTTAGGTTCAAGTGCCTTGTCTAATTTGGCCTTAAGGTTTCTAACCTCACCTTGCCAAATATGACAAGTATCACAACCAAAGTTGAAAGGATTACTATTGTCCGTACAATCCGATTCATTATCTTTCACAATGGAAGCCTTAAGGTCCTCTAATTTCTTTTCGGACTCTAAGACTTTGTGCTCTAAATATGTAAAAATTCTTCTATTAGAAGCAAGTTTCTTAAAGGCTTCAGTTGCTTCCTTGTGTAAAACATCGAATGCGGTTTGTAATTCGGAATGAGACATATTAGATGACATATTATATCTAGAGTGACGTACCTGTTTCTTTTTCTTTTTCTGATTTGCGGAGAGACATAGATTCACGGACTCTTCTTCATCACTAGAGCTTTCATTAGAGGAGGAAGAATCACTGTCGCTTTCCCACGCGATGTACGCCCTCCTAGGCTTTGATGCTCTCTTATGTGACTTCGATTGTTCCTTTTCTTTTCCCTTGTTGTTCATTGGACAGTCCGGTTTGTAGTGACCGGGCTTTCCACATTTATAGCACGTTCCTCTAGTCTTTTTGCCTTTTTGATTGTCATCTTTGGAGAACCTTGATTGCCTTCGGAAATTTACCAGGTTCTTCTCCGAATGTTGGATGCCGTTCTTTCTCACGTACCGGTTATACCGTTTAACGAACAGCCCCATGTCCTCATTTATGTCTTCTTCTTCGTCGTCGCTTGAAGAATAATCACTTTGCTCTTTTGCTTTAGACTTCGAGGAAGAAGCCTTAAGAGCTATGGACTTCTTTTCACTCATCTTTACTTTGTCCTTCTTTTCTTTCCTTTCATGTTGGTCAAGACTCAAGAGTACCTGTTCATGCTCTTGTAGTTTGCCAAACAATGTAGTCAGGTCTAATACCGTAAGATCATTTGCCTCTTTGATGGCGGTCACTTTCGGCTGCCATTCCCTGCTAAGACATCTCAAAACTTTATTAGTAGCAAGATCATTGGAAATAGGTCTTCCTAGTGAATGTAATCTGTTTATGAGATGAGTAAATCTCTTTTGCATGTCAGCAATGGTTTCCCCTTGCTCCATGAAAAAGAGATCAAACTCTTGTATAAGAGTGTTGATTCGAGCCAACTTAACATCGTTTGTCCCCTCATGGGCAATTTGTAGTGCATCCCACATAGTCTTAGCCGTAGGGCAATGGGATACACGGTAGTATTCATCTACACCTAATGAGGAGATTAGAATGTTCTTAGCTTTCCAATCGTAATTATACTTTCGCTCATCGTCGTCGGTCCATTGTGCTTCGGGCTTTGGCACAACTTCGTTATTCTCATTTGTCATGGTTATTTCAATCGGACCATTGAGAATAACGTTCCATATCTTTCTATCTATGGAATTAATGTGCACCCGCATACAGTCTTTCCAATAGCTATAATTTTCACCGTTAAAAACGGGAGCTCTATTGTACGCCCCTTTTGGTTCGTTAGCCATTATTCTATCAATGTTGTATTTGAAGCACCGGAGAACCGGAGCTCGTGATACCACTTGTTAGACTAAGGCACGGATCTAGAAGGGGGGGTTGAATAGATCCCTTTTAAAAATTTGAGTGGCGCTACCAATAAAATTGGTTTTCAAAATTGTTTTCAAATGCGGAAGCGGCCTTGGAAAATATAGTCTAAAACGAACAACTATTGGAGAGCCGGATATGCGTCAAGCAGATGAATTTAAGACGATAACGGATAGTAAATCACTACACACTTTTATGCAAAACTCAGATGTGATTCACTCGTACTATTTCCTTATTCCAATGATCAAAAATTACACCAAAACTAGCAGCAAAATTAAGGCAATTTTAGTTCAGCACTTTTGTCGAACAGTTGGTGTGCACAAATACCTTAAATGATATTTGTGTTGAATGAGTGATTGAAAAAGCCTTAGTACAGTATTTCTATTGTACTTAGTAGTTAAAAAACAGTGTTTCACCAACTCACTCAATCAATACTACAATTTGACAAAATCACTTATTCTAGAATCACTTAATTTTTAAGCTGTAATTGAAAATGCAGAAAATAAAGGAACACAAGATTTGATGAGGCAGTTCCCCCAGTCGTCCTCGCGTTGGGGTACGTCTGCCCTCAATTCTACAATGAGAATTGAGATATGTATTGAATAGATATCACCTGTTTGGTAGAACAGTTATACACAAGAATCGATAGACAATTGATACAAACAATCTCAATGTTGCTGATAATTTCTACCACTTCTTGCCCCTTGATTCAAGATGAATCAAGTCCTCCAATTTGATGTGAATGACCTCCGATTGCAGCCACCTTATTGACAACTCTTCCGTTGATCAAACCTTCGGCACGGCTGATCTTAGACACACCCAAATTGAACCCGGAACGTCTTCAACCTTTCAACGCCCTAGCTACTAGATTGATCAACCTTCCGCTAATCAATCACCTTCGCACTCGCTTGATTGTTGAACCGACGATTCCGTAACAAAAGCCTTCAAAACCTGTAGTCTTGATAGGTAAAACCTCAAAGGTTTTCTCCCAAGAAACACCTGCACCAGCTTCCACTCGAACCGGATCTTCAATCACGCGTTCGAACCTTATCACCGTCGAGCAAACCACAAACCGCAGCAAAAAAATTGATTATCTGTAATTTGAGGATTTGTGAGTTGATTGAACGATGAAGATGAAGAACACTGATGCACCTCTTTCACGTTTCTTGACCTGAACACTTTCTCACAATGCTTTCAAAAATGTTCTATGTTAAAATTGAAAAGACAGCTATTTATAGTAATATACAAAACAGACAGTTGACAGATCAAAGAAACATAGCAGAATTTCTGTTTCTGCGCGCGAACGGTCGACCATAGGGTCGGCGTGCGCTGAGCCGTGTGACACTCAAACTGTCATGCGCCGAGTCAGCGGTCGACGCATGATCTTCATGCGCTGAGCCGTCTGATTCTTAAACCTGCATGCGCCAAGTCAGCGGTCGACGCATGGTTCCATGCGCTGACCCGTGTGAACTGAATGAAACTGTGTGCTGACGGTATGGTCGGCTCATGGTTCAAAAATCTGCAAAAACATAAATTTCTACAGCTTTTTGTGCATTACGTCATTGTAAAAATTGAATCATAAGTAGCGTGAATGATTTAAACGAAAGAAGGATATCTCTTAGCAAGTTGTCATCATCAAAAACCAGAGGCACGCTTGTGTTGGTAGATACTTTGCCTTCACAATAAGGACATCCTTCTAAAGACTAGAGGCGGCCGAAATAAGAAGTCACCTTCACTTAGCAAAAATAGTTAAGTTTACCAGGCAAAAATGCCTAACCCCCAAACCATCTTTACTTTTAGATTGACATACATCAACTAAACTAAATCAAGAAATTTTAGAATCTCATTTGACACCTTCCTAAAAAAACCTTCTTTGAATCTGAACAATTTTTCTTCATACCTTTACGAAAATTTTTACAAAAGACAAGTACAAGAACTGGAAGACATTAAGAACATAATTAAATAAAACTACCCGACTACCCAGATAATAAACGTGTGCTTCCAAGAATTGAGTCTCTTAGCAAGCAAGTTAGCAAGGGAAATCCAAATCACTTATGTGCTAATAGCTTCAACAAGAAGTCTAGGATACTTAAATAGAGTGTCATGTTGTTCGCAATAAAGCAGAAACACGAATAATTCATATTTATTCTATGACTAGTGATTCATCCAACCAAATAGTTTACATCTTCATCAAACCGCTTCATCTTGATCCTTCTCAACTTTAGTTCACAAACTTGAATTGATGGACATACACTCAATTTGAGAAAATATATTAAACTTAAATATCTAAATAGTTTTTTTAGTGAATTTGTTAGACCATTTTTTCTGTTTAAGTTAATTATAGTCAGGCCTATATATAAAACGACGGTTTTGTCTAAAAACTAAACATTTTATTATACAAATGTTTCACTTTTTCTTTGTTATTCACCATGCAATTTGCCAAGTGCTTACAATTTAGTTTCATATATTTTACTTTATATTTTATCTCTAAAAATCTTAGCGGTAAAACTTAGTCATACTAAATTTTGTGGAGTCAAATGTATCTACCGACATTATTTGCATGGGATTTACGCTTATCATTAATTGTACTTATTTACCATTAAAAAACGTTGAATCTAATTAAACAAAATCAACATATTTCGTATAACTATCACACGCTCCTATACCTCATACTCATTTGGTATTTGTTTTTTATAATACATATCCATTTCAATTTAAATCCTTTTGATGTTAACTCTTCTCCTTCCTTCCAACACATAAATAGATATAAACCTTATCACACAAAAATTGCAAACAACTTCCATTAACAAAAGAAAAGAAAACACACCCTTATTGTGAGTACAACAAGCATGAAGTTTATCATCATATTTGTTTTGGTATTTCATGCTCTTTCCATGAACCTTGCACATGGGAAGAAGGTTAATATTAATCACAAGAAAACTATTGTAAAGAGTGGTTGTGATTTGTTTAAAGGAAGATGGGTTTATGATGAATCATACCCTTTATATGAAACTTCACAGTGTCCTTTTATTGAGAAAGAATTTGATTGTCAGAATAATGGTAGACCAGATCAATTTTATCTCAAGTATAGATGGCAGCCCACAGGGTGTAACTTACCTAGGTACACACATTTTTCATTTAGTTATTCTTATTCTTTTTTGTGATGTTTATTTTTATTCATTTTATTTTAATTTTTGTGATAGAAATTGAATTTAGGTTTTTATACTGTTAAATTGCAATAGTGAGAGAAGTCTAGGGTTTGTTCTAGGGTATCTAATTTAAAAATATAGGTTTTTTTGTTATTTATTGTTTAATTGTGAATAATATTTTATGAGCTTTTTAATTAAGTTTGATTTAATTGTAATAAATTTTAAATTTAATCTATAGTTCAATTTAGTGTTAGTTTGTTTTGGTTTTTTTAAAAATAATTTTTAGATTATAACGTAATTTAGTGTAAAAAATATTTACAAACTTTTTTTATAAAAACTTTAAATGAAAATTTTTTTTAATAGTTATTTTTAAAATACTATTTTACATATTTCAAAATTCTTTTTTATTAAAATATTTTTTTGATATCAATATTTAAAAACATCACTTAATTTTGAATTTATTTCAAATAATTTTTCATAAAAATCAATTTTAGAATATAATTTTTTGAAAATTTACAATTTTGACTATGTTTTGATTTTTAATAATATATGTTTATATTATAAAATTTTAAAATTAATTTTCAATTTAGAAAAATGAATATAAAAAATTTATAATATTTTAAAAAACAGTTTTATAAAACTCATACTTAAAAATAAATAAAAAATACTTTTTTTTCAAAAGTTAAAACAAACATGCTCTTATAAACACTTAAAAAAAAATCATTTTTAAAATATCAATTCAGAGCTTAAAAAACCAATCTTCCATCTGTGAAAGAATTTGTATATATTAACCAAATTTAAGAACTTTCACGGGCAATTATATAGCCATCAATCACAAAAGGGTCATTTTTTTCTCCTAATATGTTTTTTACTATACCAAAATTTGAGAATTAATTGTATTATTTAATTATGTGATTAAGCTTCGAACATAGTCGATGTCTTTGCAAAGAATAAGGGTGGTAAATTGTTAGCCACTTAAATAAAACTCTATTTTGAGAATTATGATATTTTGTTGCATCTATCTTTAAAATTTTAAATCATTTATGTATTTGATAGGATGTCTTTTTAAGTTGTCATGAACAATTAGTTAAAGATTATAATTAGCCTTAAATACATGTATATCCTTCACCTAACAAATGACATATACATGAAGAAGTTGAAACTGAGATGAGATGATCATGTTGTGAAGTAACTTTCAACCATTTTGTGTACAAATAAGGATCACTTGTCAAGTTAGAAACAAACAAAAAAATTCATTTAATACTGATTTAGACCTTGCAGCTTCATTTGGACTCACTTGTGAATTTGAATTAATTTTGTCTTATAGATTCAACGGTGAAGATTTTTTAAGAAGATATAAAGGGAAAAGTGTTTTGTTTGTGGGGGACTCTTTGAGTTTGAATCAATGGCAATCACTCACTTGCATGCTTCGTATAGCTGTTCCACAAGCTCACTATAACTTATTGAGAATGGGTGATCTCTCCATTTTCACCTTCGCTGTTAGACCTCTAACTTTTTTATTTATATTTTTTATTTTATACTTATTGTTCTTTTACTCATTATCATTCTTGAAATCTATTATAATTTTTTAAAAATCAAAATTCATAATTTGTGAGATGAAAATAAATATACACATAAACACATGATATTTTAACAAATTGATATTTAATATATATAAAGACACAAATAACCATATTATACATGTATCCATTAATAAACTAGAAAAAAATATATAAAAACCATTTTACTTTAATATAAATTTCTCGATAAAAGAAATCATAATTACTTTTTTGATTTATGTTTGATTAGTAATTTTAATGACAATAAAGTGATACATTAATCTTTTTATGTGTTAATACTCATTTTATAGTTTGAAAAAATATGAGAAATTATATGTAAAAAATTGATACTAATCACATTGATATTACTCAGTTTAATTATTAATAGTTAGTTATTCAATCATATTTTAATTTTGGATCCGGTTATAATCTTATTATTATCTAAAATTCAAATGTTTCAATAATTATAATTTTTTTTTAATTTTCAAATTAAAATTTAAAATTTTTAGAAAAAAAATAACTCTTTTTTGAATAATTTTAATTTTTTTTTGTGGAAATATAAAATATCTTTTGTGAAAAAAAAATAATTTTTACGGAAAAAAAATAATTTTGGTGAAAAATAATTAAAATTTTCAAAGAAACTAATTTTTTGTGAAAAAATAAATAAATTTGTGTTTGAAAACATTAATTTTTATGAAAAAAAATTAAATTTTTGAAAAAAAAAATTAAATTTTTCGAATAGAAAATTTAATTTTTTTAAACACTAATTAAATTTTTTGAATTTTTTTTTTTAAGAAAATAATTAATAATCGATTATATAATCATAATCAAATTTATAACGGTTTTTATAATCAATTTTGATTGAAATGTGATTATGGTTATGAATCCAAACCATTTAACTGGTTTAAAAATGATTGTGGCTTCCTTTCTAAAAATAACCAACCATGCACACCGCTACTCTTAGCAAATTTTAAGAATGAATTTCGGACTAAGCAGTACCGTGAAAATGTTTGACGTCTTATCTAGTCTCTAATCTCGAAAAAGTATATAACCATTACACATCTCATTATTGAGGGACTATATTAATGTTGGAACTCTTAACCGATATAATATGAGGGACTATATTAATGTTGGAACTCTTAACCGATTTTAAGAAAGTATTTCCCAGATAATGAGAGACTTTGTAAATGTATGATTTCTTAGCCAATCTTAAGAAATGTTTTTGCCCTTACATAACTCGGGTTAAATAATTCTCATACAGCCCATAACTTGCACAAATGAAGTAACCGAATAAAGAGATTCAAATGCATAAGATAATTTATATATGGCTAATTGCCAAACATTACGATCCAAGATCTTGGTAGAAGACTCTTATTTTAATCATCATTAAGAATTCACGATTAATCAAGGAGAATCTAAACACCGAATAAACATATAGACATAATTCCTGAAATTTTATTAGTCATAGTCAATAGAGTTACAATGATGTTTTTTCTATAATTTATTAAATACCACGGTGTAGAGGATACTTTCAAAAATATAAGCCGAATACAACAATTTTATTCAAAATATATAACATATAGTAGATAGACATGTACAACAGTGACATGAGACATCAAAACCAACAATAATTTTATAAATTTAATAATTCAATATAACCACAATTTTATAGGGAAAAAAATCAGAGTTGCAAAGTTTGCAGCCATAAATTGATAATCTTGAAATTAAGTGAAATATCATGGTCAAGTAATAACAATTTAAATGCAATCATGCAATGATATAATTGACCTCCCAGTAGTAGTCTCTTTATTAAGTATTTCATTATCAAGGTATTTGAGTTCCACACGTACAAGCAACAAAATGTAACCAAACAATTTATCTGAGAAAAGAAACTCATAAATGGAAATGTTTTTAATGCGTTATGGTAAATGCAAAAATTGACAACTTTTTTGCAGAGCTACAATGTTAAGGTGATGTTCTCACGCAATGCATTTTTGGTGGACATTGTTAGTGAAAATATTGGTAGAGTTTTGAAACTAGATTCTATTGAAGCTGCCAATACATGGAAAGGAATTGATGTCTTGATTTTTGACTCTTGGCATTGGTGGCTTCACACCGGAAGAAAACAACCGTAATTAAAACTCATTCTTCATTTCTTTATCTTTCTACTATATTACTTTGTATCTATCATTTTCAGACTTTAATTTTGTTCATGCAGATGGGATTTTATTCAAGTAGGGAATAATAGGTTTAGAGATATGGATCGTTTGGCTGCCTACGAGAAAGGATTGAAAACATGGGCCAATTGGATTGATGCCAATGTTAACATTACTAAAACAAAGGTGTTCTTCCAAGGAGTCTCTCCGGATCATGTTAAGTAAGTATTTGTTGATTTTAAGTTGACTATGATATGAAAATTAAAACATGTTAATCATGATTTTAAATTGCAATTATGGGTGAA